TTATTTAATTTTGGCTTGAATGGCATTCCATACATAGGACATAACACCTTCCCTTAGTATACTGCATATCCTGCACTGTGAAAGTGTATGCAGTGCGTGAATTCTGATCGTGTAGTGTTGTCTCAAATTGTACACAGCAGCTGTGCCCTGCCAGAACATGACATTGCTTCTGTTAGCATTGCAGATTAAGCAATTTACCCTTTGCATTAACGGTGACTTATTTTCAACGCCAGTTAAGTGGTATTTTACTTTTTAAAGTTTTTTAAAATAATGTATAACTTTCTTAACTTGCCATATTCTGCAATGGGACGCACTTATGCACTCGAAACAGCAAATAAAGAAGTACGCAATTTGAGACAGAGCGACAGTCAGTTCAGGTCAGTGTCATAGAGTACGTCAGATGGATGTGAGTGTGAAGGCCACACATGTTCTTACAGGAAACAAGACAACAGGAACGGTCAGAGTGACAGCCACCAGGACGGCCAGTCGGACACACAGGATCAGAGTGTCCCGGGGGTCCACCTTACTGTAGGTATGGAGCAGCTCTGCTTCAGTGTTCCCTACACACACACACACACACACACACACACACACACACACACACACACACACACACACACACACACACACACACACACACACACACACACACACACACACACAAAACCTGTGTCACCTTACTAGACTGAACTATGTTCTGCAGACTTAAAGATCTGTCACTCTTACCAAAGAAGGTCAGGTATCCAAATATGGCTGTGAAGAAGTACATGGTGAACATGCCCAGGATGGAGACATTGCCAATATTCTGCATTCTTCTGTTGGTTGGGCTTTAGGGGAAAAGGTGGCAGATGTTGTAAAACAGTACATTAAAAAAATGAAAGAGAGTGAAGCATGGCTATTATAAACGTTTCTTTTAAGAAAATAATATATACAAATCTGAAAATGAAGCTGTAGACTACTGTCCAGGTTAGACATTTTAGGTATACTTCTTTAAAAAAATTATATAAATATATAAACAGTATTTTTCCATCAGCTTCCGATGGCACAAAGCCACAAAAATTGGGCCCAAGGTGTTTGGAAAATATTATTTCAATTTTGAGCATCATTAACTCCTGCACCTTTAAAAGGCAGGAAAGGGTATGAACCAAAGAGTATTCCCTTTTGACTCTCACAGGCATGAATGTTTTTTCATGCACACTGTATGTGAATATCAGGAAGTGTGCATCGTACTTGCTCAGTTCGGTGTAGATGGGAAGCACTTCAGGGTGACAAACAAAAGCAAATGCCAGGATGGGGATGGTATACGCCGTCTTTAAATCAAATAACACAGTAACTTCATAAACTCCCTGTGAAATATGATGCACCCACTAATAGTTCCAGATCATAAACTTTCTGACCTCTTGATTGATGGTGAAGTATTTGGCAGTGCATGTGTCCTCCAGGAAGACTGCGTTCACAGAGTGGTTGCCAAACACTTCCAGAGGGCATGCAATGTTGAACTTCTTATAGATGACCTGATGTGGTAGATAAAGAGAGTTTGAGGAAGGAGAACAAATGCTATCTTTCTTGCCTTTGGTTACTAAAGAAAATACATGTTGGTACTATTTGGAATCTCCCTAAAATATTGTATTGTAGTATTTTAGCTCTTCGTCTCTATATCTCCGTTGTTGTTATATTGAGTTTTTGTACATGGCACTTAATGATTACCTTTACCTAAGTTAATTTGTTAGCAAAAAGGCAAACAGGCCTTCCATTCCACATCCATGCTCCACTATGTCCCCCAGCTAGTCTCTAACTGTGTGCAGGGAGTGTACAGTGGCTCAAACAGTCTGCTGGTGCTGGTGGTTGATTAGCAGAGAGACTGAACCAAACCAGTGAAATTGTGGACAGTGAGGAATGGGTTTGAAACTTTAAAGGTGTGTTCACACCGGACAACATCACAGTTTTGAAGATACAGGGCTTATCTCCATGAAGATACTATTAACAACAAAATAAAAATATTTTGACGTGAAATTATGGTAATGCAGGTATCAAAATGGTGCCGAAATAACAGCATACATCAGTATGCTGTTACCAGTTAGTAAAAACGATGAAATATGCTTTGACTGTGCTAAGAAGAAATTGATTTACATTTAATCGCATCTTTAGTCTTTTACGTAACAAACAGTCCATTGTTCATGTAGCTGTTATGCTTTTAACAAACTGTTGTCCATCATTGATGACCACCCCCCCCCTCTCCACCT